CCACAGGCTGGCTGGACCAACTGGTCTATTGGACCAACAAGCCGATTGGACCAACTGGTCGTTTGGACCACAGGCTGGCCGGTTGGACCAACTGGTCTGTTGGACCAACTGGCCGGTTGGACCAACTGGCCGGTTGGACCAACTGGTCTGTTGGACCAACAAACCGGTTGGACCAACTGGTCTGTTGGACCAACCAGCCTGTTAAACCAACCATCCTGTTGGACCAGCGTTGGAACAACAGTCCGGTTGGACCAACTGACCGGTTGGACCAACTGGTCTGTTGGACCAACAAGCCGGTTGGACCAACTGGTCTGTTGGACCAACAAGCCGGTTGGACTAACTGGTGTGTTGGACCACCAAGCCGTTTGGACCAACTGGTCTGTTGGACCAATCAGTCGGTTGGACCAACTGATCAGTTGGACCAACAATCCTGTTGGACCAACTGCTCAGTTGGACACAAGCCGGTTGGACCAACTAGTCTGTTGGACCAATCAGTCGGTTGGACCAACTAATCAGTTGGACCAACAGCCAACTAGTGTGTTGGACCAACAGCCTGTTGGATCAACTGGTCAGTTGGACCAACCAGCCAGTTGGACCAACTGGTCTGTTGCACCAGCAAACCGATAAGAACAACTGTACTGTTGGACCAACCAGGCGGTTGGACCACCTGGTCTGTTGGACCAACAAGCCTGTTGGGCCAACTGGTCAGTTGGACCAACCAGCCAATTGGAGCAACTGGTCTGTTGGGCCAACTGGTTGGTTGGACCAACTGGTCTGTTGGACCAACAAGCCGGTTGGACCAACTGGTCTGTTGGACCAATTGATCAGTTGGACCAGCAAGCCAGCTGGACCAACTGGTCTGTTGGAACAAGAAGCCAGTTGGACCAACTGGTCAGTTGGACCAACCGATCAGTTGGACAAATCAGCCTGTTGGACCAACTGGTCAGTTGGACAAACTGATCAGTTGGACAAACCAGTCTGTTGGACCAACTGGTCAGTTGGACCAACCAGCTAGTTGGACCAATCGGTTTGTTTGACCAACAAACCGGTTGGACCAACCGTTCTTTTGGATCAACCAACTGGCCGGTTGGACCAACTGGCCGGTTGGACCAACTGGTCTGTTGGACCAACCAGCCGGTTGGACCAACTGGTTAGTAGGACCAACCAGCCGGTTGGACCAACTGGCTTGTTGGACCAACTGGTCTGTTTTACCAACAAGCCAGTTGGATCAACTGGTCTGTTGGAACAACCAGCCGGTTGGACCAACTGGTCTTTTGGACCAACCAGCCGGTTGGACCAACTGGTCTTTTAGACCAACCAGCCGGTTGGACCAACTGGTCTTTTGGACCAACCGGCCGGTTGACCAACTGGTGTGTTGGACCAACAAGCCGGTTGGACTAATAGGTCTGTTGGACCTACCAGCTTGTTGGACCAACTGGTCAGTTGGACCAACCAGCTGGTTGGACAAACTGGTCCGTTGGACCAACAAACCAGTTGGACCAACTGTTTTATTGGACCAACCAGCCGGTTAAACCAACTGGTCTGTTGGACCAACAAGCCGGTTGGACCAACCGGTCTGCTGGACCAACCAGCCGGTTGGAGCAACTGGTCTGTTGGACCGACAAGCCGTTTGGACCAACTAGTCTGATGGTCCCACCAGCCGTCAGTTGGACCAACTGGTCAGTTGGACCAACAAGCCGGTTGGACCAACTGGTCAGTTGGACCAACAAGCCGGTTGGACCATCTGGTTTGTTGGACCAACCAGCCGGTTGGACCATCTGGTTTGTTGGACCAACCAGACGGTTGAACCAACTGGTCTGTTGGACCAACAAGCCGGTCGGATCAACTCGTATGTTCGACCAACCAGCCGGTTGGACCAACCAGCCGGTTGGACCAACTGTTCAGTTGGACCAACCAGCTGGTTGGACCAACTGGTCTGTTGAACTATCCAGCCTGCTGCAACAAATCGTCTCTTGTACCACTCATATCGCTATATAAAGCACTTACTCTTAGTACCACTCATATGGCTAAGTAACGCACATATTCTTAGAACCACCCCTATGGCAAAGTAACGCACTAACTCTTAGAACAACTCATATATCTAATTAACGCACTTACTTTTAGTACCACTCATATAGCTGTGTAACGCTCTAAATCTTAGTACCTCTCATATCACCAAGTAACACACTTAATCTTAGTACCACTCATGTGGCTATATAGCACACGTATTCTTAGTACCACTCATATGGCTAAGTAATGCATTTACTCTTAGTACCACTCATATCGATAAGTAACGTACTTACTAGTAGTACTGCCTATATGGCTGAGTAATGCTCTTACTCTTAGTACCACTCATATGGCTAAATTACATATTTGCTCTTAACTCATATGGATAAGCAACGAACTTATTCCTAGTACTCTTCATATGGCCAAGTAACCCACTTACTCCTAGCACCACTTATATGGCTTAAGAAACGCACTTACTCTTAGTACCACTCATCAGGCTAAGTAACGCATTTACCCTTTGAACCACCCATATGGCTAAGTAATGCATATACTCTTTAAACCACCCATATGGCTAAGTAACGTACTTACTCTTATTACACACTCATATGGCTTAGTGGCGAGCTTTCTCCCAAAACCACTCATATCGCAAAGTAACGCACATATTCGCAAAGTGAAATACTTACTACTCTTAGTACCACCCATATCGCTAAGTAACGCACTTACTCCTAGTACCACTCATATGGTTAAGTAACGCACCTATTCTTAGAACCACCCATATAGCTCAGTAACGCATTTACTCTTAGTACCACTCATATGGCTAAGTAACACACGCATTCTTAGAACCACCCGTATGGCTAAGTAACGCACTTACTCTTAGTACCACTCATATAGCTAAGTAACGCACTTACTCTTAGAACAACTCATACCGCTAAGTAACGCTCTAACTGTTAGTACCACTCATATTGCTATGTAACGCACTTATTCTTAGTACCATTATATGGCTATGTAATGCACTTATTCTTAGTACCACTCATATGGCTAAGTAACGCACCTACTTTTAGTACCACTCATATCGCTAAGTAACGCACTTAATCTTAGTACCACTCATATCGCTAAGTAACGCACTTACTGTTAGTACCACTCATATGGCTAAGTAGCGCAGTTACTCTTTGTACCACCCATACAGCTAAGTAACGCATTTACGCTTAGTACCACCCATATGTCTAAGTAACGCACTTACTCTTAGTACCACCCATATGACTTAGTAATGCACGTACTCTTAGTACCACTCATATCGCCAAGTACCACTCATATGGCTAAATAACGCACTAAGTCTTATTACCACTCATATGGTTAAGTAACGCACTTACTCTTAGTACCAGTCATATGGCTAAGTAACGCACTTACTCTTAGTACCACCCATATGGCTAAGTAACAAACTTACTCTTAGTACCTGTCATATGGCTAACTTACGCCCTTACTCTTAGTACCACTCATATGGCTATGTAACGCACTTTCCCTTAGTACCACGCATATCGCCAGGTAACGAACTTACTCTTCGTGTTACTCATTTGTACTACTTATATGACTGAGTAATGCTCTTACTCTTAGTACCACTCATATGGCTAAATTACTCACTTACTGTTAGTACCTCTCGTATGGCTAAGTAACGCACTTACTCCTAGTACTATTCATATAGCTAAGTAAAACATTTACTCTTAGTACCACTCATATGGCTATGTAACGCACATTCTGTTAGTACCACCCATATGGCTAAGCTACGCACCAACTCTTAGTACCACTCATATAACCAAGTACCACTCATACGGCTAAATAACGCACTAAATCTTATTCACACTCATATGGCTAAGTAACGCACTTACTCTTAGTACCAGTCATATGGCTAAGTAACGCACTTACTCTTAGTACCACCCATATGGATACGTAATGAACTTACTCTTAGTATCATTCATATGGCTAAATTACATACTATCAGTTCTACTTATATGGCTGAGTAATGCTCTTACTCTTAGTACCACTCATATGGCTAAATTACATACTTATTCTTAGTACCACCATTGCTAAATAACGCACATACTCCTAATACTATTCATATGGCTAAGTAACACACATACCCCTATTACCACTTATATGGGTAAGTAACGCACTTACTCTAAGTACCACTCATATGGCTAAGTAACGCATTTACACTTTGAACCACCCATATGGCTAAGTAGCGAGCTTTTTCTCAAAACCACTCATATCGCCAAGAAGCGCACTTATTCTTACCACCACCTATATGGCTAAGTGGCGCACTTACTTTAGCACCACCCATATCACTAAGTAAAGCACTTACTCTTAGTACCACTCATATGGCTAAGTAACGCAGCAATTCTTAAAACCACCCATATGGCTATGTAACGCATTTACTCGTAGTACCACCTGTATGGCTGAGTAACGCACTTACTCTTAGTACCACTCATATAGCTAAGTAACGTACTTACTCTTAGTACCACTCATATGGCTAAATAACGCACTTACTTTAGTCACACTCATATCGCTAAGTAACGCACATATTCTTAGAACCACCCATATGGCTAAGTAGCGCATATACTCTTTAAACCACCCATATGGCGAAGAAATGCACTTTTTTTGCTTAGAACCATTCATACCGCTAAGTAGCGCACTTACTCTTAGTACCACTCATATCACTAAGTAACGCACTCAATCTTAGTAAAACTCAGATAGCTATGTAACGCACTTATTCTTAGTACCAGTCATATGGCTGAGTAACGCACCTTTTCATAGTATCACTCATATCGCTAAGTAACGCACTCTTAGTACCACCCATATAGCTAAGTAATGCACTTACTCTTAGTACCAGCCACATGGCGAAATTATACACTTACTCTAGGTACCACTCATTTGGCTAAGTAGGGTACTAACTCTTACTACCACTCATTTGGCTAAGTAGCGTACTCGCGAACTTACTCTTAGTACCACTCATATCGCCTCTCTCCTGTCTTCCCTCTCTCCTGTCTTCCCTCTCTCCTGTCTTCCCTCTCTCCTGTCTTCCCTCTCTCCTGTCTTCCCTCTCTCCTGTCTTCCCTCTCTCCTGTCTTCCCTCTCTCCTGTCTTCCCTCTCTCCTGTCTTCCCTCTCTCCTGTCTTCCCTCTCTCCTGTCTTCCCTCTCTCCTGTCTTCCCTCTCTCCTGTCTTCCCTCTCTCCTGTCTTCCCTCTCTCCTGTCTTCCCTCTCTCCTGTCTTCCCTCTCTCCTGTCTTCCCTCTCTCCTGTCTTCCCTCTCTCCTGTCTTCCCTCTCTCCTGTCTTCCCTCTCTCCTGTCTTCCCTCTCTCCTGTCTTCCCTCTCTCCTGTCTTCCCTCTCTCCTGTCTTCCCTCTCTCCTGTCTTCCCTCTCTCCTGTCTTCCCTCTCTCCTGTCTTCCCTCTCTCCTGTCTTCCCTCTCTCCTGTCTTCCCTCTCTCCTGTCTTCCCTCTCTCCTGTCTTCCCTCTCTCCTGTCTTCCCGTACCATTCATATGGCTAAGTACGTTGTTACTCTTAGTACCATATTTCTCATTTCCATATTTTTACTCTATCTTATTCTCCTTATTTTCCTCTTTCATTTGCACTTTATTTCACCTCAATCGGACTACTATTCTATTTTCTAGAGCTTTCCGATTATTTCACTTATTTTGTATTTTCGGCACCGACAATTACATTATACGGCACCGACAGCACCGACAGTGGTGTACAAGGCGTAATCTCGCCATAATCCAATGTGCCAATGGGCTTGCGTGCTTATGCGCACTAGTGATTATCTATCCTATGAGAGCGCGTTCCCGAAGGTTCGGATTATCGCTTGTTTCTATGTATTTCTAAGCATAAATACGCCTTGTACTAACCTTCGTGGAACATTCTCGAGTGGAAATTCGATCCTGTGACACTTGGTATTCAGAGCCGTTTTCACTCGCGGAGTTTCAGCTAAGCGCGCGACAGCAAAAATCCTGCTTCAAAAAACCGCCGGGGGCGAAGAATTCGGCGCCGACGCTGGTAAGCACCAGAATCCGCGTTTTTTTAATGGTCCCCTCGCGCGTTTTTTGAACAGGTCCGAAAGTTCGATTTTCTGGCGACGAGTTGGCGATATAGCGACGACAATCGCGAATTGTCGGCACCTATATCGAGCGGTGCAGAAGCAGCAAGACCGACGCGCGACGGATCTAACGACATCGGGTGAATTCGCGCGTCATGGCGAAAATTGCGACAGAAACAGAATCGATCATGACTTCGCAGCAGTCGCGAATTTTTCCCAAGGCCCAAAAAATTCGAGCCCCCAACACCTTCGACGGGAAAATCGACGTGCGGAGGTGGTTGGCGGAAATCGAAATATATTTCGTAGCCGTCGGTTGGACATCCCCGACATACGACGGTTCGCGAATTAAATTTGCAGCAACACTTCTGCGCGGACCAGTAAATGATTGGATTATTAAACCAAGGCGAAGCGACGTGGCAGCAGTTCCGAGAAGGATTACTACAACGTTTCGAGCCGATAAATGCAGCGTTTATCGCCCGCGACAAAATACATCGTCATCGACAAATCGGGAGCGTCGCGAACTACACGCAACAAATGGAGGAGTTGTTCAACCGCATCCCCGACGTCACGGAAGGCGAAAAAATTAGAGCATTCATCGAGGGGCTGAAAAAAGAAATACGACAACACGTTGCGGCCGCAAATTGGAGCAGCTACAACGACGTTGTCTCGGCAGCAGAACGTTTCGACGTAATCACGATCGGAACACGACGACTTCATGGACGAGCTAGACGACATGGAGGACGCTTGGCTACCCCCACGTACGCCGACCCGATGGAACTCGATCGAATCGACGCGAAGGCAAGACCAAAGAAGAACAAAGCTAAGTGTTCTTTCTGCGGCAAGCCGGGACATCGATTCATCGATTGTAACAAAATGAAAACCGCACGTGCCGCGCTTTGGGACCGCAGTAGTGGAGCAGATTTAGTGGAAAAATTGGAGGATCGTGGAGTAAATTCTTCAACCCACGAATGGACTCTAGCAGGGAAAAACGCCGAGAAAAATAAAATCTCCGCGAAACAAGACCCTGCTGGACCCGGACAACTCCAAAAAGGCCCTGTAAAAAGTAAGCACTCCTTAGAAATATCATACAAGGATGCTTTACTTGGGAAAAACTCCCATGGGTCTACGGCCTCGGTGAAAAATGGAGAGAGGCTCCATAAGAAATATAATGTACCGGTACGACAACTGCAGCAGCTGCGCATGGGGAACCAACAACGGAGCGTGGAAGATCGACCTTCCAACGACGACATCGTCCTCTCTCAGAACAACCAGCCCACGTCGACCAACCGGTCCCCACGGAAGAAGTCGGTGGCGCTGAAGCAGCTCAAGAGGGAGCTGGAGGTCAACATGAAGCTGCGACGACCTCAAACCTCCTCTACAGATGCATCTGAAACATTTGCAACGTCTAGCATACGAAAGAATTCTACTACGAGCTCGAAAACAACGTCGTCGACGAAAACAAAAAATCATGGCAACAGGGAAAGGCAAGACCGGTCACCCGCCACCCAAGGAGATACCACGGAACTATGGGATGTGCCCTACGATCCAATCAACGAGACGATCAACGGGTACAGCGAGCAACGCCAACCACTTCTGCTCGAGGTGATCTGCAATGGACGACGCCTCCAAGCACTCGTGGACAGCGGAGCATCCCATTCAGTATGCAACAAAGCAACCCTCGAACGCCTTAATGAGGAGTGCACGCCTTAAAGTTTTACAGCTACGATGGTTGACGGAAGCAAATTACAAATCTACGGCGAAGTAGCATTACACCTGCAGATGGGTCCTCTTCGCTGGAAACCGACCCTACCCGTCACCAACATCAAAGGGCTAGACTTGATTCTTGGGAGAGACTTTCTCAAGAAGTTCAACCCCGAGATCAACTGGGTCACCCGCACGGCGAGCATCTACAATCAAGACAGAAGAGTTCCACTTCCGAGTTGGAGCAACACGGGAGATATTCCGGAGGAGACTCTCGCACGCTTCGAGAAGGACGTGAAAAGAACCATGGCAAAGTTCGTCGCACTGGTTACAGACGAGGATGAAGCAGAGAAGAAAGCACCTGAGCTTCCACCTCCTATCGAGAAACTGTTGGAGGAGTTCAAAGACGTTCTTCCTGACGACCTTCCAGACCAGTTGCCGCCATACCGAACCCACCAGCACGAGATCGTCGAAGAACCTGGTTCAAAACCGACCTTCCGAGCACCATATCGACTCAGTCCTACCGAATTGGCTGACATGAAGAAGCAAATTGAGTACCTCCTGGAAAAGGGATTCATTCGACCATCGACATCACCATACGGTGCACCAGTGCTCTTCACACCAAAACCTGACGGAAGCTTACGCATGTGCATCGACTACCGAGCTCTCAACAAGCAGACGATTAAGAACAAATATCCCATTCCTCGGATCGATGACCTGCTTGACCAGCTTCGGGGAGCCACAGTATTCTCAAAACTCGATTTGAGATCGGGATATTGGTAGATTCGGATGGCGGATACTTCCATCCATAAGACGGCGTTTCGGACACGATACGGATCCTACGAGTACCTCGTCATGCCGTTCGGTCTCACCAACGCACCCGCTACATTCCAGGCCGAAATGAACCATATTCTCAGGCCTCTGCTCAACGAATGCGTGGTGGTGTACCTGGACGACATCTTGATCTACTCGAAGGACATGAAGCAGCATATTGAACACCTACGACGCGTCTTCGAGATACTTCGACGGGAGAAGTTCTACGTCAAGCTATCCAAGAGCGAATTTGCCTTAAAGAAAGTTCAATTTCTTGGACATATGGTGAGCGCTCAAGGAGTGCATGTCGACCCAAAGAAGATCGAAGCCGTACGTACGTGGAAGACGCCGGAGAACGTGAAGGAACTTCAGCAATTCCTTGGCTTCGCGAACTATTACAATCGGTTCGTGCCACAGTATGCGAAGATTGCGACACCTCTCATCAACCTCCTGAAGAAGAATACACCGTTCAGGTGGGAGGATGTTTACAAGCAAGCCATGGAGCAGTTGAAAACCGCACTCACGTCCGCACCCGTCCTGATCCTGCCAGATCCAGAAAAAGACTACGTCATCGAAGCTGATGCTAGCGACCAAGCAGTTGGAGCAGTCTTGATGCAAGACCAAGGGAAAGGACTACAACCAATTGCTTACCTGAGCAAGAAATTGCATGGGGCAGAACTCAACTACCCGATTCACGACAAAGAGGCCTTAGCGATCATCACCGCGTTTCAGACATGGCGATGCTACCTCGAAGGAAGGAAGACCACGGTCTACACTGACCATTACAACCTAAATTACCTAAAAACGCAGCCGACCCTCTCCAGGCGACAGGTCAGGTGGATCGACTTCCTCGAGACACACTTCGACTACGACATCGTGTACAAGCCGGGACACAAGAATAAGGCAAACACACTGAGCCGGCCTGGACACGTTGCCGCCATACAGGTTGAGGGGATGAATCCGCTACTTAAGGGACTCTTTACGCACGGGTACACTATCGACCCCGAGATTCCCTTGGCAGAGAAGAAGAAATTGCTGCAGTGGGACCACGACATCGCACTACGCAAAGGATCAACAAAGATATGGGTACCCAATTACCCACCTCTTCGGCAGTTGCTTCTCGAAGAGATCCCGATGTGCTCTACGCTGGACACTTCGGGAGTAACAAAACACTTGCTGGGATTGCGAAAGTCTACTATTGGCCTCACATGGCAGACGACGTGCAGAAGTTCGTCACTTCGTGCGACACATGCCAGCGGATGAAGAGCAGTAAGCAGAAGAAAGCAGGACTTCTTCAGCCTCTGCCCGTTCCAAAACAGCCTTGGCAAGTGGTCAGCTTGGACTTCATCACTGGGTTACCACCTACCAAAGCGGGGCATGACGCCATCCTGGTCGTCATCGACAAATTCTCAAAGATGGGACACTTCATTCCGACGCATACAAACGCATGCACGGGAGACACGGCACAGCTGTTCGTCAAGCACATCATCTCACAGCACGGGATTCCGACAACGCTTATATCCGACAGGGACCCCAAGTTCACTAGCAAGTTTTGGAAAGAGCTCATGTCGCTCATGGGGACAAGCCTAGCGATGTCATCTGCATATCATCCCCAGACCGATGGGCAGACAGAGCGCTTGAACCAAATTGTGGAACAACTCTTGCGCGCAGCGTGCAAGGACGACGTTAGCAAGTGGGACTTGCACTTGCCGGTGTTGGAGTTTGCCTACAACAATGCGAAGCATGACGCAACAGGAGAAACCCCGTTCTTCCTCTGTTACGGTCGACATCCGCTAACTCCACAGCAGCCAACAGTACCTGCAACCGTCCAGCCCGCGCACGACTTCGTTACCACAATGCAGCAGCTTTGGGATCGGACACACAAGCGCCTGAAGGACATCCTGTCTTCACAGAAACGCTCAGCCGATCGCC